TTAAAAGAAAACAGAGCGGAGGCTGCAGGCAGAGAAGGGGCTGGGAAGAGAGCAGGGCTGAACGTGCTGGGTGTGAGCCACAGTGTAAATGCTGAGCCGGGCTGGGCCCTGAAGCTGGCTGGTGTCAGGATCTGTGCCAGTTGGTGATGATAAACCAGAGCAGCTACGTCCACCATTCAAGGTCGTGGCAAAAACCAAAGCCACATGCCTGTGGTTGGGCAGAACCATTAGGCTCAAAGGGACTGTCCCAGAAATGTGTCACTCACATGAGGTGGAGGCCCACAGTGGACACTTCTGAGAAAACCCTGGTCTGGAGCCCAGCAAGGTACAGGTACAGACCAAGTAGAGGCCGCTGGCAGATGGCCTTGGGCTTTATGGAATCTCAGACAGATGGTCTTTGGACCTCCTCATGATAATAGTTATATCTTTAGTAGATACTAATTGGTAAAAAATATGTAAGGACCAAAAATTACTGTAAAGGCACTATTGTTTTTAATGAATTGTGTTTTACTTACCACAGTAACATTAAGGAACATGTGAAAACCTGTTAAGAATTTGGTCTTAAGATTTGGTTTTGTTTTTTGGCTGATTGCAAAGGGATCGCCTGGGAACCACTGTCCTAGTACCTAGTGACCCTATATGGGAATCCCTAACTCCAAAGTTGTTTTTTCTTTTTTAGTTTATCTTTCAATTTACTAATACAACTATATGATATAAAATTAAAAGGTACAAAAGGAAATATGGTGCTGCAGCCTCCCAGTCCCCTTCCCTGAAAACAACCACCATTCAGTTTCTTGTATGTCCTCCGGAGATATTCTGTACCAGCATCGTTTCCATGGTAAAAACAGCCTACCTGCTGAATGGATAAAGAAGATGTGGTGTATACATATAATGGAATAGTACTGAGCGATAAAAAATGAAATAATACCATTTGCAGCAAGATGGATGGACCTAGAGATTATCATACTAAGTGAAGTAAGACAAGTATCATATGACAACACTAGTGTGTGGAGTCTAGTGTGACACAAATAAACTTATTTACAAAACAGACTCACAAACACAGAAAACAAACTTATGGTTATCAAAGGGAAAAGTGGAGGAGGAATAAATTAAGAGTTTGAGATTTGCGGATACACACTACTGTATATAAAATAAACAACAAGGTCGTGCTGTATACCACAGGGAACTATAGTCAGTTTCTTGTAATAATCTATCATGGAAAAAATATGAAAAAGTATTTATCTATATAAATGAAACACTTTGCTGTACACCAGAAACAAACACATCGTAAATCAACCATAGTTCAATTTTTTAAAAAAGTCTCCCTGTGCTGCCCAATAAAGAGCCATCAGTCACACGTGTGCCTGTAGAGCACTTGAAATGTGGCTAGTGCAACTTGGAAGTGACTTTTAAACTTTATTTCATTTTCATTAATTTAAATTTGGATTTACATGGCCACACGTGGCTAGTGGCATACTCTGCATGTTGTACCACATCTTGCTTTGTTCACTTAACAACACATGTCTTGAAGATAGACTGGCCTTCCTTATTTTTAAAAGCTGCTGCATAATATCCTCTGTAATCCAGCAAGGTATTCCCTTACTCAGCGTGGAGAGCCATGGAGCACAACTTTTAATAAAAAGCTCTGAAATCTTTTACATCATGCCATCATAACCAACACATCTTGCAACAATTCTGGGTTCCTCATCCTTCCACTTTAATCAGCCTAAGCCTGAGATAGTTTGATATGAAATAATCTCTTTCAGGGACTAGAAGAAATAACTTACCATGATCACTGCCCTAAAATACAACGTCCACTCACATGCCCTGTGCCTGGAAGTCAACGGTGAGGGTGGCATTCCTCAGGGTTAATCATGGCTCCCTGCAAGTGGTTCTCCTTTAGAATGCAAAGTGCACTGGGCAAGGCAGAAATTAATGGAGAGCATCTGAGGTTGGTTTTGCTTTCGCTCTGATGAGAGGGACAAAGAGATGATGGAGAGGCCAAGGAACTTTGTGAAGCTGTGCGGGTTCTGATGGTGAATCTCCCTGTTCTTAAAATTCTCCTTCAGTCCATGTGGATCCCTAAGCTTGTGCCTTTAGGCAGCCTTCCTTTCAGGATATTTGAGGCAATGAGAACCTTTCCAGTCTCATATGACCTCTAGAGAGCACATCTCACCAACCTCTTTTGATGTTTACCCCGTGTAGCCCTTTCTTCTCTGAGGTCTGTACAGGAGGCAGTGGATGCACAAATTTAACATCAGACAGACCTGGGTACAAATCCCAGATCCACTTGGCACAGCCCCTTGGCAGCTTATGGGGCGAGTGCACAGCAGCACGTGCTGGCCTTTGAGTGGTCAGTCTGTACAAGGAATCATATAGGGGGAATGAAGAAATGGCCTAAACTTCACTCAGAAATATTCCTGAGTCACCACTGGGCAGGGCTTGCGGCTAGACATTGGACGGAGGAAGGAGATTTGATTCCTGCCTTGTCAGGGTTCCTGAACAAACAGGGAACAGTGCTGGGGTCTGCACACTGGTGGGCACTATCTTTCCCAATGACAACTGGGAGAGTGGAATTTGCATTCTTCAGAACACTCATTACTGCTACAGAACCAGGAATAACCTTACCAGCGGGTCATGAGTGCTGAATAAAATCACAATTGTCTGCACACATCCCAAATCAAGACTCAGTCACAACCTGGAATAGACTTTTTGGCCCCGAGCGCTCACCTCTCCCTGCGTCCACACCCTTGCCACATCTCTCTGTCGGCAGAGTGTAGTGTCTCGTTCCCTGGCAGGGGGCGTCGGCCCATGGAATGGGCAGAAGGGAGAGTGCTGGTTCTGTGCCTAGGACGGAGGAGGCCTGATGGGTTTCTGCCTTGCTCTCTTATGCCTCCCTTGAGCAGCTGCTGCCTCTTCAGCCTGGGCCCCAGAATGAACACACATGGAAAAGACTCGCCCTGGCTGATCTGCAGACCAGGAATGAGGCACAGAGCAGACCCAGCAAGCAGGGCATTGAGCAGAGCTGTCCCAGCTACGCCGCAGCATGGTGACAATCGTTACTCCAACCCACCGAGTTCTGGGGTGGATTTGTCTGTCACACAGTGCTCTTGTGGCAACAGTTAAGCAGTACGTGTAGTCATTCTTTTATTAGGTTTTAAGTTCAGCTGCTGCAATAGAGACCCTACACAACAGCAGGTCAAACAAGAAAGAAATTTACTGACCTCTCATGTGAGAATCTGGTTAAGTAAGTCCAGGGCTAGTCTGGTGGCGCATGTGTCAGGGAGCCTGGCTCCACCATTCTGCGGTGGAGCCTTCATATCACGAAGCCTTCATATCATTCACAGATTGAGGTCTTAATTTCCTGCCGCCCTGCAATCCAAAACACTCCACAGCGTGGCGCCAAACTCTCTTTCCAACATTACCCTCCCATACATAAAGCCTCACCTTGACCCACTATTCCCACTTCTGCTTCAGGCCTCAGGGCTTGTCTTCTTCTTGAACGGGTGTGCTCCCCTCATGTCCCCAATCTGGTGCCCCACTGCCGTCCCCCAGGTCTCAACATCCCACTCCCA